GATAGGCAGATTATAATTTTTAATTGTTTAATGCTAAATATTAGACACACAGACACACAAATACACTGTTGTATTTAAAAGCATTATTGGAGTTATTGGATTATAAGATAAACTAGAACACATTACTATAGTCATTTTTAGTAATCCAGACACCATTTTCAATAAAATGAAATTCAGATTATCTTCTTTCCAGTGTATATCTAGAGACGGTGCCCTAAGTTAATGAAAGTTGTGAGGTCATTTTAAATTCATAACTTATTAAGGTTCATTGGAGAAACAGGATTCCCTACAAAGTTGTAAGGGCACCTGCAGAGTGAGAACTGGGGAACGAGGAGGAGAAAACCAGGTTCATGGAGACTGCTTCAATGGAAGTAGCTCCATTTTTACATATTTTGAAAACTGGGGCTCGATTTTGTTTTGTTTGAACTGTGGGCTCCAAGAATAAAACTAACAGCAATAATAATGACAAAGACAAAAAGGGCAATGTTATGAGATTCGCTGTTCAACAGATACTTTCCAATTTTAGGATTTTATACTTGTACATGAGTTTCTTTGGAAAAACATATCTGGATTTTGAATGTCTTAGTACATTATCTTTTTCTTTTACCAAAGATTCCCATCTTCCATTCTTTTTTTTCCTTTCATTCCATTCTTCCCCCTTTCTTTAATATTAATGCATTAATAAGTTAAAATTGTAAAATAAAGAACATGTGATTGAAAATAATAAAATGAATTCATTTATGTATTTATTTCTCTTATATTAACACCGCCTAACTTGATTATGAATAAGTAATTACTATAAGTAATGTGGACAATGTATTGGACTCCTGAAACTCATTTGCAGGAATTGTTCACTATTTAGAAAACCAGAGCAGATGATTAGTTCGGCTGAATTTCTGCTGCTGATGCTAGTTTATAAAGGACTCTTGAAAGTGGATGACCAAACTTAGTAAATTAATCTATTTTAATCATATTTTAATCATTTTAATCTATTTTAATCATTAAGTCATGATTAAGCATATCGGCAGAGAAAAGGTTTAAAGCCAGAAATTACAAAAATATATGCATGTATTTTTTAATTGTTTTTTTGTTTGTGTTTTTACCCCAGCTGCATCAGATTCTCATTTCATAGCACACCAGTCTCATTGGTTCATGTAAGGTCTCATCCTGTGTGCACGTGTGTGGTTTTTGTTTGTTTATTCAGTCTTTATGAACTCATTCTTTTTTACCTTATTTTCTTTTCCCATTCCCTTCTTCCCTCCATAAGCAACTGTTATAATTTATGTGATCATATTTACTTGTAAAATGTATAGTGTTAACTCATGTCATCATTTTCACATACATAAATGCCATTACCATATAGATCAGATCCTGTTTCTCACTTGTTTTCACTTGGCAAATTATTTTTAAGGTGGATTCACCTGATGGTGTTAACACTGGATATGGTCTGTTTCCTGCAGACTATGCAGAGTGTTTTCATGGTGAGCATTCACTATGTTCTCATTGTCCATATCTCCTAATACTGCCTCCCCCCAGCCCCCCACCCCCGGACAAAGAAATCCTCAATAAGAAGATTTCCGGGTCATAGGGTTTACCTGTGCTTAATTTAACAATAATCTTCCCACATGGCCCTCCAGAAAGATTGTACTTATCTGTATCTCTATTAAAATAATAATTACATGTTTATAAATTATAAATAAGCAGTTGTTTCATTTTTCATTCTGATATAGTCTCACATCATAGAGAGTGATAAATCTGAAAAACCATCTAGCAAGTATAATCTTTTCTGAAGTCAAAGTCAAGTAATCCCACATCGGGGTTACATGGTATTTTCTGGCTTTCAAAATTTTACAAGATGATGAGAGATAAATAGCATGTCATTATTGTTTAATTTGTACTTTCTAATCACTAATGAGTCTGAACTCTTCTTCATATACTTATTATACTTTTGACTTTCCTTCTGTGTTATTTTACTAATTGCCAAGATATTTCCGTTTATTTCTAGAATAATTTATTAATTTATATGGCAATGTAAAATATTGACATACACAACATAAAGGTGGTGATCATTAAAAAGTGTTGAATTGTGAATTGCCTGTCACATAGCTGACAGGCAAAAATATCTGTGGATTAAGTAAATAAAAGTCATGAGCTTTTGTGTAATATATGGTAGGATGTACAGTAACCTATGACATTGTTAACTCAGTAATTTTAATCTATAGATGTTTTTGAAGTAATGGTAAATATTAAGCACAGCCAAAGAAATGACATAGATGAAATTTTGTATTATAAAGGTAAGAAGAGCTTGTGTCCATTTGAGGAACATTAAAATTAAGTAATTTCAGAAGTTATGATAACATATTTGAGTACATTTTATTCTATTGATTGATTTTTTAAATTCAAATATTACCTGATTCTAATTTTAAATTTTGATAGTCTATTAAGTATAAGATTTTGAGTGCCACATCCTATCATCACTGTTGCACATTCAGCAAAAATTTAGTTTTTCTTAGTTTTCCTAATAGAAACAAGTAGAATAGGCAGTTTCTATGGATAGAATTGATGAGTCATCTGTACATTCTCAAACTTGAACAATTGGTAAACATATATGTTGATATATAACTTAAATATAAAAATATAAGTATTTGCTCATAGTGCTAAATAATAGATTTGATCATTTGTGTGTACACTATCTTCCAGGAATTATTTCTTAAAGTCAGAGTAAAGAGTTACCTGAGGTTTGAATATGCTTACATTCAAATAAATTAAATGGTAAAATACTATTTTTGTGTACTTCTATGCAGTATGATCATTTTCAGCAAACTTTTGCATGCATTTTAGTTTATAGAACTTTAAAATTAACATATTTTTCAAAAATGCTGTATTCAAAGTTTCAAAGTAATTTTCACAACTAGTAAGACCACCTAATGAATTAATCAGGAGTTATTTGAATACTCACTTGATTATTTTAGTGTGGTTCTAATGGGATTTGTAGGAAGTTGGATAGGCAATGCAATTGGGAGGTGTTGCTAAGTGACTGTGTCTGAGTAGTCCCGGTCCCTGTAGTGTCTGATACTCACTATTGCAACCAAGGATAAAAGGGTAAAAGAACTAGAAAATCTTTTGAATAGTACTGCACCACGTCTGGTGGGAAAATGAGTGATGGAAAAGTTAGCAGGTGTATCATGGGACAGAGCAGATCGTATAGTGCCTGATCTCAGGTAATTATCCAGGCATGATGCTAGTTTTCTGTACATTTTATTTAGTGATATCATTAATATTTCTACATAGTTTTCCTTTTTATGACTGGAAGCATTTTTATTTCAGTGGATAATTATGTTTTGTAAATTTGCCCCATTATTTTGAGATGTGAAAAATAGGTAAATCCAATAGAAGTAGCATGAAGATTATGCAGCTATATTTTTTTCATGGAATATGCTCTGCATAAAAGGAACCATGCAATTTCTGTATTATAACACCATTAATTTGTTTCTATTCAAAATCATCTGTTTGTAATATACTCTTACTCCTAACTAAAAAAGTGTGTGTTTCAGTGTGTTTTTTTTCCTCTTTCAGTACTACATTTTTCTTTAGTGGTATCACCACTGTCTTTTATGTAATTTTCTCATTTTATATGTACAACAGCCTGGGACTGTTGAAATAAACCTAAGGCCCATCTGGAGAGAAAGTTTTCTTTGAGTAAGTTATGGGAAAGTCCTTCTTGTTTGTGTTATTGTGGGCATTTTCATGGACTTCTTTTGTCATTTCACTGTAGTAAAAACATTTCCCAAACTTGCTTGCAACTGGTAATATGCTTTTCAATGTATATGAAATCACTAAAACTTTTAAAGACTCAATCATGCCATGTTTAGAATTTCCTATTGATACCAGTGTTGAGAAATAGGCAATTTCACATAGGCATCTGTGAAGCTCATTGAAAACGCAGTTTTTCAACAAGTATTTTTAACTTAGTCATAGCCTAGTATGGCATACATATATTTTTCTAAGGTAAAGCATTCACAAATATTTGGGCACAATAATTTTGGATAGTTTAATTTATATTGCCCTCACAAAGCATCATTATTAGGACCATCTGATTTGTGCCAAGTATCTGTCCCTAAATATTTTGACAGATCATACAAAATAGACCAAGAAACTAAACATAAAATGTTGAAATATTAAATGTTACTACTTTTTTTATATGAAAATTACCTTTTTGGAGAGAAAGGAAACACAAAAAGCCCTGTAATGAGTCCAGTGCCCTACTATACAAGACACAGTGCGAAATAAAATTATAGAGCTCTTTGTTCACACATTATTAAGAATTTCAAGATAGCAAAAGCAAAGCACTAAGCCAAGCATAGGATCTTCTGAGCACCAGGCCTTGTATATACTACTGCACAGACCACACACACACCCATGAAGCTACACTCTCTGTAGTATTTCTGCTGCTTCTACTCAGGAGCGTAGCATGGAGTGAAGAAAAGATGCAACATGGGAATTGATTTGTCTTAGCCAAGTTGAAGGTATAACAGTTTCTTAAGTCAAGCTCCACAACAACATCCTAACGATTTTCTTCTACAACTCCCATTCCACAATAGAATATGGAAGTTTGCATTCTTCTAGTTGCTTATTTCTATGAAAAAAATTATATTGGTGGTTGTAATTATTTTTTATCCAACACAAAATTGGTCTAAGCAATATACATTAAATGTTTTCTTTATAGCAGTGTGAACAAAATGCATGTGTTTAATGATTAATAGATTTTCAAAAGCAACATTTTGCATGTTGTATTAAATGCATTTTATGTGTTCAGGTAAGTTGATGAAATAAAACTACAGGTGGTTTTGGTATTCGTGTTCTAGAGAACTTTGAACTAATGTTCTCTGAAATGTGTGCTGAGTTGGTTTGTTAATGTAAAATGATGTCTTCTATGCCCTACTGACCCAAACTAGAAGCAGCACACATTTTTCATGTTACGCTTGAATTTGTCTTTTTAGGGATGCAAGTACTGGAATGGAATGGAGTTCCTTTAACTTCCAAAACGTATGAAGAAGTGCAGAGTATCATTAGTCAGCAAAGTGGGGAAGCAGAAATATGTGTAAGACTGTGAGTTTTTCCCCATCTTTTTGTTTCCATTTTTTGGCTATTCATGGCTCTTTTAATTTAAAATTGTTAAGGTGGAACCTTTGCCAGTCAGCAAGATTTTCTTTAATTAGAAAATAAAGTGAATACAAGTTTTTTTAGATTCCTTGTGTTCAGAATCGAAGTCTAAAGCATAGAAAGAATTCAGCTAATTTTGTCTCTGACTGATGTTAACAGCTTTCTCCTTTTATGCTTTTTATTGAAACATGTTTCATTTAAATGAAAACTTAAACCCATTTAGATTTCATAGATATGTATAGTATTTCAAAATAAACTTACATTTAATCCATAAAGATTTCACCTTAAATAATCATTTTTATCAGCTAACTTTTAACAGCATTGCAAAAATGTATTTGGTTAGAAGGGTGAGCATGCTTTGCAATTGCTTTATATCATTAACCACTTCTCATTTACCTACTGAAAAAAAATATCCAGGGTATTTGGGGAAGAGGGCCTTTGCCACAGGCTTCCTCAATTTGTTTCTTAATTTTTTTGTTTTAATTTTTAGGGACCTCAATATGCTATCAGATTCTGAAAATCCCCAGCATCTAGAACTTCATGAACCACCAAAATCTGGTAGGTGAAAGAAATCTTCTTTCAATTGTGAGTAAAAATGTAGAAGTACAAATGCATCTCTACTTACAATGGGGTTACACCCCAATAAATTCATCATAAGCTAAAAATATTGTTAAGTCAAAAACGCATTTAATACACCTAACTTACCAAACATCATAGTCCAGACAAGCCTACCATAAATGTGCTCAGAATACTTACATTGGCCTGCAGTTGGGAAAAATCACCTGAAGCAAAGTCTATTTTATCATAAATTGTTGAATATCTCATGTAACTTATTATATGTATCACTTCTGCACCATTGTAAAGTTCAAAGGTTGTTAAGTCAAACCATTGTAAGTTAAGAACCATCTGCAATTATTGAGACAGCTGTAGCTGTAGATGAAGATACAGACATAAACGTAGATACAGGCAAAATAAAGCTATAGGCTAATAGATGTTTATATATTTATGTAATTGTAAACAAAATCGGAAGCATTACAGCTGCATGTTTAGCATTTTAGGGAAATACATTTGCATGTTAGACCCATTAGAGAAATTTATATGAAATTCCTGCTGTGTGAATTCATATTTAATTAATCCCATCTAAGTAATTTAAGGAGCCATTTATTTTTGGTCTTATATAATTTTTAGATAATACTTGATCTTTTTTACTGTAACTGGGATTTGGAACACCTATGCCTGAATCTTTTGATTGCCTTTTTCTAATAAATGAAAATCAACATGTAGTCTAATAAGATTAAAGATATCACCTATTCCCTTGTTGAACAAATATGTATTGACTACTTCCTGTGCTACAGTCAGCACCTGAAGAGTCTGGGCTACTACACTAAATAGAAAAGACCAAGGTCTGTAGAATCTTTCATACCTTAAGTGTACATATACTCCAGAATTCCCCCATTAGAGAAAGATATATTTAAGATTTGGAGAAAAAATAGCTAGTCATACAAATTAAATCCCAGTGAATAAAATAGAATATTTTATCTTCATACAATTTTCTATATAAAAAATTAAAAACATTTTTCTGAAGTTGTAGAAGAAACCTCAGTTTCCCTCTGTAACTCAAAATTACTTTACTCTTCCCTGAGCCTTCTAGACTTCTTTAGACATGTATACATAAAGGTGTATTATGTTTATTTTTTAATATTTAGCTTATTATATAATATTTTGACTTTGTCATGTGGAACTCAAATAAGTTCCATGCTTTTAAGTGCCTATGAAATTGAGGAATGTGTAAAGACTTTTTGTTTTGTTGTAGTGGATAAAGCAAAGTCCCCAGGGGTTGATCCTAAGCAGTTGGCAGCAGAGCTCCAGAAGGTTTCGCTACAGCAGTCACCACTGGTTCTGTCTTCTGTCGTTGAAAAAGGATCTCATGTGCATTCAGGTCCTACATCAGCAGGATCCAGTTCTGTTCCCAGCCCTGGGCAACCAGGGTCACCCTCGGTGAGCAAAAAGAAACACAGCAGCAGCAAGGTGAGACATGTTCCATGTGACCATTGAGTTACTTACTTTCTAGTTCCTTATTTAGAATAGGAGATAGGAAATATAATATCATTTTCCAGGGTGCTCTTATTTTTACACATTGCCTAGTTATCTACTGAAAAAAAAAGTTTTTCATTTCTGAGTATGTAACTGATTCACGATGTATCAAGATGACATATTTCTACCTTGCTTAAAGTATTTTAGCAGTTACTGTAAGGAACTTGAAAAATATGTCTGGTGCTTCTCATTTCCTTGTTATTTTTTCTTTCTTCCTATTGCACAAATCTCAGCCTTTTTTGTATGTCAAATATTAGTTTTGCATCTTTTTAGAAAAACGAGATGTGCATTACATTAGATTTTGTAACTTAAAAAGGATACAGATAAAGAGAATTTAAAATAATAACAAGGAAAAAGAGTAATATACCATTGCCGTTTGCAATTTTATTCTTAATTCCATACTAATAAATTTTTTCTTGATGCAAATCTTTATTTGAAACAAATGTTTCTAACACTATTATTTCAAAGTTGCCGGAAAATTTTAAAAAACAAAGAATTGATCCCTGGCTGGTGTAGCTCAGTGGATTGAGCGCGGGCTGTGAACCAAAGTGCCGCAGGTTCAATTCCCAGCCAGGGTACATTCCTGGGTTGCAGGTCATAATCCCCAGCAACCACACATTGATGTTTCTCTCTCTCTCTCTATCTCCCTCCCTTCTCTCTCTAAAAATAAATAAATAAAATCTTAAAAAAAAACCATAGAATTAATTGTTTAACCTTATAAAAGCAGAAGAAAATGTAGACAATTTATAATTTTCCCCTCAAATTTGGTTGTTAATAAAGAAACTCTCCTTATAGTCAGTGAATACATTGGAAAAATTTTGTTTGATTAAACATGTGTAAAGGTTTTTTTATGTGGTGATATATATGAGACAGACAGGTCATTCTTGGTTAAATTAACTTGACTTCAGAATAAAAATTTGTTTTACTAAGTATAAAAACATAGCAGGTGTCACCAAAAAGGCCTTTTATGCAGAAGCCAACAAGAAAGGTACGATGACTTTAATCATTGCACATAGCTACTTATTCCAAACCAAATACAGCAAGACTTCATTCAGAGATAGTTTGACTCAATTTAAAAATAAATTTTAACACAACTGTATTTTATAAAATACAATTATGTGTTAATGTTGGAGGGGTGCCTCATGGAGGCTGCCTGTCTCTAGAATTACAGACTGATATTTCTTTTCTCAGTAGCTCCACATAGGAGAAAATTTCTTTCTCAATATCTTCATGTAGAAAACCTAAAATATGGCAAACTCTGCTAACAAAGTTTTCTTTTTTAAAATTTTTTTCTTTTTTTTTATTGTTGTTCAAGTACAGTTGTCTCCCCTCCCCCCCACCCCAACCATCCCTACCTCCCACCCTCTATCCTACACACCTCTGTCTTTGTCCATGTGTCCTAACCACATTATAGTTCTGTAAGTCTGTCATCCTGGTATTTTTTATTCCAACAATTGACATCACCATCTTCTCACAAAATTAAGTAAAAAAAATTTAAGAGCACCATTGCCTCTTATTTTCTCATCATTCACACTGTCTAATCAGTTCCTGAATTCTAATCCCATGAATTCTTGTTTTTTCATAAGTCTCTAGTAACTTTCTGTTTTCTTTTAACTTACCGATTTCCTTAGCAAAGCATTATTTTTGTGTACCAATATGACTTATTTCCTTCACTAAGGGTAATTCCACTCACCAGTCTCTTTCTTCCTCCTAAACTATTCTCTATCTAATCTGTGACACAGCGATCTGATTGGATTGTATCCTGTGTGGAAGGTATCCCTGACACCTGGAATGTCGGCCCCACCTCTCTCATAGGTCCCTATCCTGCTCATTCTAAAAGGGCCTGGTCAAATGGTCTTTCTTGGGAGATTATCATAATGTAGAAAGATCTTTACAATAGCCTTGCTTCTAAATACACTATTTATTAAGGTTTCCAACTCATTGCTACTTTCCCCAGATATTTTTGGATACCACCTCAGTGTCAGGGGTTATATACTCTGTACCCAAAATACAAACCTGGATAAAATCCTGTCCCCATGTACTGTGTAGACCAGTGGTTCTAGAAGTGTGCTCCCAGCCTACTGGCACCAGCATCATCTAGGAAATTGTTAAAAATGCAGTTCTTGATCCCACCCTAGGCCTTCTGAATCAGGAATTCAGGGGAAGGCACAAAGCAACCTGGGTTTCAGTAAGTTCTCCAAGTGAGTGTGAATCCCCTTAAAGTCTGAGAAGTGCCCATGTAACTCCAGATGAAAAATGACTTGTAAACAAACTCAGTGATGGTATGATGTTGGAAGTCATTAGAGGTATAAAGAAAGCACTTAGAAGAGTGGAGTTAGGAAAGCTGGTGCTTAGCTAATGAATCAATCTGGTAAAGGTGAAAAAGAAGTTAACATCCCAGAGTTGCAGCATGAAAAAATTCCCACAATGGAAAATTACATGCCTGAGACATTAGGTGTGCCATAGATTCAGGGGTAAGGAAATAAAGGAGAAGTCCAGATGGGGGCAAATTGGAGGACATTATACACCACATCCACCTTTACACTACAGTAGGCAGGAAATGAAGAGCCAGGGATAAGCTTTAAGCAAAAATAAAAATGAAAATAACAGGAAGCCTTTCTTCATGAAGTCTTTCCATGTTTTCATCCTTCTCTCAAGTCAGGAGTTATCATTCCTTCCTTATTTCTTCCTTCCGAAGTGTCACATGCTTTATGCAGTGCTTAAGACAATTTGTATCTTGATCCTAGGTACTCATTTGCTTACATTACTTTCCCAACTGGCCTGTGAGCTCCTTAAGAACCAAGAACCATGCCCAATTTTCTCTGTAGCCTCCTAAGCCCATAATAGAGTGGCTTGCCTAGAATAGTAACAAAGTAAATAAATATTGTAAATTAAAACATCAGCAGCACTTGTGTAATAATATGGGGGTACAAAACTTGATTTCTTGTAATATTTTAACTTTCAGGGCAATGACTAGAAGATGAAAGTGGGTATTAGAGAACAAGCATCAAGGAAATGATATTGATGGGTTTTAATGATATGTGGTAATTTTTCTCCATGCCAAGAATTTTTCTTATGTAATTTTTTACAGTATTTTTGCTAAAACAAAAAGTTATAGAGCTATACTGTTTATTACAGTGTCTGCTAGCCACATGTGGCAATTGAGCACTTGAAATGTGGCTAGTCCTCATTGAGATGTGCAATCTTGAGATTACAAGCCAAGTTTTGATGACAGTATGAAAAAAAGAATATAATATATCTTGTTACAATTTTATATTGATTTCACAGTGGAATAACTGGAATTAAATAAAATATATTACTAGAAGTTGATTTTACCAGCTCATTTGTACATTAAATATGACTACTAGAATGTGTAAAATTACCTATGTAGCTCACATTATATTCTACTGGACAGTGTTAGTATAGAGATTACTTCACTGTTATTGGTAATAGCAATAATCAAATGTAATTATTTTTTAAATATATATGTATAGCTTTAATTGATATGTATAGTCACCATACACTAACACTCTTGAAGAAAAGAACTATTACCTATTGATTTTTTTTTGTCTTTTGTTTGTTTTGTTTTTTTGCATTTATCTAGTTTAGCTTATACGGGGTTTCTCAAAACATTTTGGCTGAATGAATAAATAATTTAATGGTATTTCTTAGCCCTGGCTGGCATAGCTCAGTGGATTGAGCGAGGGCTGCGAACCAAAGTGTCGCAGGTTCGATTCCCAGTCAGGGTACATGCCTGGGGTTGCAGGTCATGACCTCCAGCAACCACACATTGATGTTTCTCTCTCTCTCTTTCTCCCTCCCTTCCCTCTAAAAATAAAAATAAATAAAATCTTAAAAAAAATAATAATAATATAATGGTATTTCTTGACCCATTAACATGTAGAAAGCTTAAAAGGCAATACTTTTATTCATTCTCTAAATCATGCAATGTTAAAAAAATTATATTGAGAAATTATAGAAATATTAAGTGGTGGTCTAAAGTTTACATATCCCTGAGTCAGGTAATATAATATTCCCAAATATCATATGTACTTTTGAGAATATAGAGAATTATAGTTTTAACTTTTTTGTGTTTTCATTAAGTATGAGACTAAATATTAAATCACAGTATATTAATATAATGAAATTTATTAAAACTAAGACCTTAAAATTACATTTAGCATAATTGTACATTTAGACATTTAGAACACCATCTATTAAAATTTTAAATGATTATTCATAAGTAATTAGTAGTCTATTAATAATTCACTAATTTATATGATTATTTCTGAATAAATGTAAGTAAAATTTGAATTTAGTAAAAACATATTAGATGTACATAAGCAATGTATGTAAGACTTTTAAATTATTTTGCTTAAACTGGTTGAATATTAATTTTTGTCTTTAAAATGTTTATTTTGCTGCCTCAAGCTGTTTTGTCTCTGAAATTTCAACCAAACTTTATTTCATCTTTAAAGTCTGAATAATTTCAAGTCAGGGTATAAATAAATAATTCAACTAAAGTACTTATTACTTTTAAATGTTCTTATGATATAGGTCTTTGGGTTCCCAAACTTTGCTGGTCATGGCAGACTTAACATTCTCTATAATTTTTCCATGGTGCTCATATGCCCCCAAAATACCTAAAATAGTTTCATTCATTAAGTGGTGAAGTCCAAATAATTTAATCAGTATTTATGTCCTAACATCTTAGTAATCGTTACAAAAAAATAAAATACACATAGGGTAAAATGAAATCATGTATTCATTTCACTCTTAATAACTAAAATTGCATATCCGTGGGATATGTGCACCTGATAGGCACTGCACAACTATTCAAATTATGGAATCAGATTGGACACTAATACTCTCATTTCCTGTTCCAGGCTGATCTTGCTTATTTTTGTTCAGTACATTTTTTATCACCATAATCATAAAAAACCAGCCTCACAAAAATGTGGCTTCATTGAATGTAATGCAGTTGGCTCTGATCCTGACATGTAACTACCTGCAGCTAGTGGCTTGCCTGGTGTCCAGCAGATGCTGCTCTTTTTCCTTCTCTAGTTTAAAATACCCCTCTGTGTCCTTATGAGTTCCCTGCCATAACCCGGAAAACTAAAAATGGTGTATAAGTTTATTCTCTGTGTAAGTCTAGTTAGGTTTGCGTGATCTCATCAGATAAATGTGACTGTTAAAAAAACTCAAAACAACATAGGTTACCAACAATCACCCTTTGCTTTTTCTTTTGTCTTACTTTTGACTTTTTATCTCAGCTATTCCTCAGCTTTCCTCAGTGAGATGCAAGGATATCTGATTTTAGAAAACTCCCCTTCTTTAATTGAGATATAAATAGCTTCAGGAACTTGTGTGGTCCTTTTTCTAGATTCAGTTTTCTCTCCTTAAAATTTAACTAGTAGAAAACAGTATTAAACATAATTGTTCAATAACTAATATTTCATTCTTTGTAGCCTGGGCATAGTTTTAGTGTTAATAAATGACCATTCTTATAACCGAGCTAAACCAATGAAAGATAAATGGCATAGGAAATTTAAAACATACCCCATAACATTGCCAATGATTACATTAGCTGTTTTCTCTACTGCACTGAATAAGGCCTGGAATATTGCTGTCTCCTTTTGATAGCTCTCATTTTTCAGATAAAAATCTAAAGGAAAAGGTGGCAGAAGGAGTATATCAGGGATCTTTTCTAGTTAATCATAAAAACAAGACCAATATATGCACCTGTAGGGCGTTATTTGTACTAAGCTGGCCTCCATTTCAGTAAATATCTCCCTGTCTTGTGCTACATTGCCTGAAATTCTGTTAGATCTGGGGTCAAGGCATCATTTCTCCTTTACTACAAATATTCCATTAAAATGTAACAACTCAGCCATCGCACACTTAGTCAGCAGTGGAATGTTTACCAAATCATATTCCTGTTTTTAAGGTTTTACTAACATAAGGGATATATTAAAGAAATGAGAACATAAATAGAATGGGATGTAATTATAATAGAGGGTGAGATAGTAGAAAGCAGTTGCCTGGGAACAGGGAGGGGCTGACCCCCAGCAAAGGCGTGGAAGAATGGACTTTCCTCACTTCTGTCTCCTAGGCAATTGTTGTAGAAAAACAGTATCTTTTTTTGTTCCTCTCTAATTGAAAATTGAAAATATATCACTGCAGGTATAAAATTATAGCTTCAAAACAGGCTGAACAAAATGAAAAGTAGATTTATGTACCTATAAAATTAAATATGTATTGAGAAGTATAAACAGACAGCATAATCTGAAGTAGACAAATGGGTGAAATACATTTTCCAGGCGGTGTGCTCTGACCAAATAGAAATTAATTTCAGAAGAAAGTTGAAACGGTAAATTCTAGGAAGGGTTTATCCATTATTATAATGTATGTTTTTAATGTTACAGCCTACTGATGCAACAAAGGTTGTCTCTCATCCAATTACGGGGGAAATTCAGGTATGAAAGTTTTTTTACTTTTAAATCATCATTGCACCATCTTTTTTTGTTGTTTTTCCCCTCTGGCCTATTGAAGTTGTAAACACTGTTAGAACCTTTTATGTTTTATAACACATACTGATCAATAATGGAAAAGTACAATTTCATAGAATAATATTTTAATATAAATATGTTTTATGAAACCTAATTATATCAGTGGAACTCTGTATTTTGAATTCTGCCCAGTACCCTAGCAGTATTAACACATTTTGTGCCTCAGGTATTTTATACTTGTTGAATGTGTTTCAAACATGACAGATTTTCCTGAAAATTTTAGCTCCCTCTTCAATAATTTCGTGAGCCTAATGCTATCCTCATTTCTTCTCCCAATTAACATTGTGAAATAATTGTTAAACAAGTACTGTAAAGCCATGTTTCTTACTGGAGGTCATAAGCAATTTTTAATTTATGAAGGTAGTTTAGTGGATTTTGACCAGGAAAACAGAAGAAAAGTAGTATAAATCACTATTTTTAGTTCTATATATGTGTTTCTGTGTTTGTATGATATATTGTAACATCTATTTCCTACTGTGGGTCATACTTAAAAATATTAGATAAACTGTGTTTCAGATGGAACCCAGGTGTAATTTGGGGTAGATAAGAAATGTCACATAGAAAGAGTTTACACAATATAAAATAATAACTTCGAAGGTAGTAAGTTTCGGTAAAGGGAATGAAAACAGCTAAGTCTTAGCTGTGTCTCCAACACCTTCTAGAGGAAATTTTCATGAAAGACTTCACAAAGGATAATGAGAGATTTGAACTAATTTGAGGATAAGCAGAGAGAAAGAGGAGTGAGTTCCTAGAAGAAGAAATGGTATAGGGAAAGGTTCCATCACCAGAGTAATGAAATGAAGAGGTCAGCTTGCTGCCCTGAGATGTCCCTGTAGAGATAAGTTAAGACTAAATTAAAAAGGACCTTGGCCCTGGCCAGGTGGCTCAGTTGGTTAGAGTATTATCCTGATGCACCAAGGTTGTGGGTTCGATCTCAGGTCAGGGCATATACAAGAAGCAACCAGTGAATGCATAAGTAAGTGAAACAAAAAATTGAGGACTCTCTCTCTCTCTCTCTCTCTCCCCTTTTCTGTTTCCCTAAAACAAATAAAAAAAAAATTAAAGAATCTTGAACATAGCTGAGGGGGAGTTAGGCTCTACATAATAGGGTGATCAATAAACATTTTGGCATAAGGAGGAGACTAATTGAAAGGACTAAGGACTATGTAATGAAAAGTCACACAGCAGTAGCATACAGGAAATATAGAAAGGAATATTAGGTGGACACACAAAGTAACCAATTAAGTGATTATCTAGGCACACACTGATTACAGTGAAAGTGGAGTCTGACAGTGGAAATAGAGAAAAAGTGCTGAAGGCAGGCACCTTTCCAAGAAGATTATAGAAGGATGGAGCCTGAATACATTTGGACTCCTGATCTTGCTGACTCACTTCTGTTTCCCACTTCTAAAAAGCCTTACTCTGATCCTTCCTTTCACAAACAAAGAAAAAGAAAGCTAGCTTTTCTGATTTAAAATATCTTTCTTTCTCTCATTTTTTTAACTCCTTGCCCATGGACCAGTATTTGCTGTGGTTTTTGTTTGTTTGTTTGTAGTTATATATCCTTATGTTATTTTCCTTTCCCTTGGGCAGTAATGTTTAATTCTATAGTGGAAATTTACACTAATGACATTCCTTCTTTACTCTTGGGATACTTTACATTTTTCTTTAATTTCCTTATGACAATGACTTTATTTTCTTTTTTAAGCCAAACCTTATTCTAAATAAACCCTTACATAGACACTCACACAATGAATCTGCCAGCACTGAGTAGCTCTGGGTGAGGATTCCTGTGGAATCTCATTCTCCATTGGAAGTAATCTTGGAAGTTCTAAATGTTTTCTAAGGCCCCACCAGAGTCACTTTTGAAAAGCACTGTCTCAGGGAAGCCTACATGTTTTAATTTCAATAGTAAATGGTTTTGAAAAAAATAGTTTTGATGCCACATCAGTTAAAAGTGGACTGTAACACTAACAGAGAAAAGAGAATATAGGGAAGAATTTCCCCTTAAAAATTTGGAAGCTGTTCTCAATCTCAGTGAAACTAATTTCATAGTAATTGTGTATTTCAGTCCCTGTGATGGCACCCAGTCACTGCAGTTCCAGACTCCCCATTTCTCCTCTTCCTTCATGGTACTTTGTTTTACGTTTCTCAGTGATTTCATGATGGTCACACTGGGCTTTTCTGTATTGAGAAAAGTGATTGAAAATTCCTTTTTTACCATAAAATATACCAAATCAAAATCACGCTAAAATTAAGGATTATTTTAATTATGAAATTTTAGATACAGTTCAACTCATCTAAATTATCTTATTTTCAGTATAACCAGATTACATGTATTGTAAGATTATTAAAAATATGTATTTTTATTTATGATTTTCTCCTTTGAAATACAAATGTTTTCCTTTTTGTTAATTAATAAAAACAGCATCAAAAAGAATTAAGTCTTATTCTAATGCCAAAAGACTCTTCGAATTTCTAAGGAGAAAATTTAGTTGATTCAGTTATTTTGAATTATGCATACTTATCAAGTATTTATTAGAAATATACATCTTTTACTATTTCAATGACAATGTGGCAACAGCTACTAAGCATCTGTGAGACAATGCCTCTTCCCTCTTCAGCTTCTAAAAGTAAAGAACAAGATTTCATTATCTTAATCTCTCATTCTACTAGAAAAGTGGGTGGAACAGAAAGAAGGGCTGTAGGTTTAATGTCACATAATGCAACATAGAAAGAGAGAAATTGTACACAGTCTAAAATACTCTTTCATTTCAGTAGTGGTAGCTCTATCTCGGAATACTGATTCTACCCACTGCTAATTATTTGGTGAAATGCAAAACATTTTCTAATAAAATTATCAATTAGTTTATTTTCAAAATCCTGTTCATTGTTTTCATGAATGTTAAACATTTACTATTTTACTAAGAGTAGTTATTTAGTTTTAAAATGCAACTAGAATTCGCTGTATGATTTTTCTTCTAAATGGATTTTAGACAGGCCAAGGCTTTCACAGAAGAAAAAATGAACAACACTTTTCCTAATAATTACATGTGCTTGGCAGTTTCCAATTAAATTAGACATCTAGTGGTCTGTTAGTTTCAAATAAAATGGAAATAAGGGTTGATGCTTCTTATGAGAAAAAATACTTATAAAATATTGAATGACAATGTATTATATGTTTTTAAAACAAAAAAAATTTCACCAGATATATTTCTGCTTCTTTAAGCTGCAAATCAATTATGATCTTGGAAATCTCATAATACATATTCTCCAAGCAAGAAACCTAGTCCCTCGAGACAACAATGGTTATTCTGACCCCTTTGTTAAAGTGTATCTTCTTCCAGGGAGAGGGTAAGTAAAAACTCAATGTCTTCGAACTATTGCATCCTCTGATTTAAAAAATAGTGGGTCCTGGCTGGGTACCTGAGTTGGTTAAAGCGTCATCCTATTATGCCAATGCTGTGGATTTGATCTCCAGTTAGTACACATGCAAGAATCGACCAATGAATACATAAATAAGTGGAGCAACAAATGAATGTTTCCCTCTCTTTCCCTCGCCCTTCCCCCCTCTCTCTCTAAATACATACATTTAAAAAATAAAAGTAAAATAAATGTCTCTTCTAGACTCTAATTTCAAAAAGTATAATATCATTTCCTTAGTTTTATCCACTTGTCATATTTATTTATTTATACTAGTAGATAAGGTGGAATTATAATTTATAATTAAGCTTTAAAGGGTTCTAGGAGAGCCATTGATCACAATAAAACCTGCCTCAGTCAGAGGGAGCACATCAGGAATTCTCTCTGGAAACCACTCTTGCTGTGATTAGTCAGATTGATTATCTGTGAAATCACTTAAGAAATTACCTTGCATTCCCAAATTTACTTGAGAAACCAATGTTCATGGACTCATAAGTTACTGTTTTACTTTATAGGATACATGTATTACCCATTATGTTAAATGCTCATGAAGTGACTTGTTGATGTATCTTTATTTATATGCATATTTCAAATCAGTGTTGTAAAAACACTAACAAAATTTTAAAAACATGAATAATAGTTGAAATGTTGACTTGGTTAAATGAACAAAAATTATCTCTGAATCTCTTGTGTAATATATAAACTGCTCATATAAAGCAAGTGCTCTTTGGAGATATTTAGTTTGCACGTAATAAATGCAAATTGCTATACTCTAATATATAAATCAGTACTCAAGGATGGTTTCAAAGTAGTGATTTGAACTCAACAGATTGTTATGCCTTATGTTAACAATTTATATTAGACAAATTATTAAAGTGGAGCCATAAGAAATGAACAAAAATTTTGGACTGGAAACTGAAAACTCTGGTTTTATTTTTGTTCATTTTTATTTAATTTGAGGAGTGACATTCCAATATTACCTTTTACTTTGAAGTCTTCAATCGTTGGACATAGCAGAGAGAAGAGTATAATGACCCAGCATGTGCCCGTAACTCAGCTTCAATAGTGGTCACTTCCTAGTCAGTCATGTTTCATTTTGCCCTCCCTACCCTCTCTCCAGACAGATTATTTTAAGTAGATGCCAACTATTGTAACTTTTTCCTGTTAATAGTTTAGTATATATTTTGAAAAGATTCATTTCAAAAATAATCATAATACCATGTATAACCATAATACTTTTTAAATTTATAAATCCTTCTATCTTCACTTTCCCCATTGCCTTCCTAGTTAGTTTGATGACCTAATTAATATTTATGTAACATTTTACTCTTTAAAGCAGAATATATATTCTTTTCAAGTACACATGAAACATTCACCAAGACAAACTATGTTCTGGGCCATAAAACAAACCAACAAATCTAAAAGCACTGAAATCATAAAAAAGCATGTTTATGATTGTAGTTGGTTTATTTGTACAGGATCCACATTAGAATTATACATTGCACCTGAACTGTTATGTACTAATTATATCACCACAGGCAGATCACCAATTTTTTGAAATTCAGTTTCCTTATGGATGTTAAGAGAGCCAAGGTAGGCAGAGCCATAATTTTTAGCTTGTCAAGTGAATCAAATTAGGTACCATTCAGAAAATAATTTGAAAAATGCCAGGTGCTATATAAAATTCAGTATATATCCTTTAATTTTATCCCAGCTAATAGTTTTATGTAGAAACTGGAATTGCTGGTATTGTTGCTATAATTGTAATTTATTGATTTAATTTATAGAGATCACCAACTAGCCATATAATGCAACAAAACAGAGTTGTTATTTTATGTTCATTCATTTACATCTTTATGTATTAGTTATGACTGTAATTTGGCTACATGCTTTAAACATGGATATAACAACAAATTGATACTTCATTCTGCCTTTGATTTGAGTCATTAGAGCTTCCATGTTGTTTAATCATAATAGAACAGGAAAAGAAATCTATGCCCAGGGTATATATCTAATTAACATTTGCTAATGAATTAAAATAAAACCCTATCTTTTATTTTTAATTTTTAATGATATACCAGAGTATCACCTTTTAAACAATATGAGACTCTCTGTCTAAATTTATTGCAGGACTATGCTTCAATTAGACTATTATAAACTTGAAAAACCAGAAAGGTTAGGCAAGTAACAAAAAGGTGTCACTCCATTCTAGTAAAGCAGGGTCAGGTGGGAATTATAGTGAAATGAAGAGTGAGTTTCTCACATAAAGCCATCCTCATGCAATTTGTCAAATGAAACATTCCTTCTTGGTGGGATTTGGCCCAGAGGTAGCTAATACACTACTCCTATTCAGTTCCTAGCCCTTTATTAAATTACTCCTGATTATTACAGTGGCCGAGGCCTTGGGATTTATTACACTTGTGAGATATTATTTTCACTTTGGTTCTAAGATGATTTACTGCCTCATGTCATTTGTATGTTATGGTATAGCTCCTCTAATTATTGTTCTCATATTTTCTTATTTCCGTTCCTAACTTTTTTCTTCCTGTCCTTCCTACTTCCTGTTGTACCCTTTGCTCGCAACCCTGGAATCAATGCAGTCAAGTCATGGTTGTCCAGAACGCAAGGTAGAGTTGGTTGTCTTTCAGCGTTCAGCTCTGCCGTTCTGTCTGGAGTCATAATTTTTGTCCTTTTGTGTATATACACCTGCAATTCAACTTGAGCTGTAATTTTTATTTTTCTACATGCTGGTATCTGTTGATTTAGGCTTAACAGCAAATTGTTCCAACTACAACATTACTAAATAGTTGTAGCAGATGTGTGCAATAGAACATTGAAAACTAGAAAATGTTAAAAACATAGAAGATTATGGATAAGAAAATATCACCCTTTAATTAGACATAACTAAATTTTTAGTCATAATTTTTACACTAAAATTAATTTAGCTTTTCATGTGATAATCACACCTTAAGTTCTCCTGAGTTTCCTATTACAAATAAAAAAAAATCTAGAGTTGTTACTCAAAAGGAGTTATCTGATCTCCATGTCTAATATTGCATGTATACCTCATCTTAAAGACCATAGGTGTCTGGTTGTATCCCTCACTTAGACCTCGATATTAAAACATTTCCATGCCTTTATACCTTGTGCACCACAAAATTATTGCTGTGCAATATAGGATGCCATAATCTGCCTATTCTGTTGCATCAACAACAACATATGAACATCCTTTGTTTGCTGATAGGAGAAGACTGTTTTCTCATAGAGCTCATTACATGTTGCATCATTACATTGTCAGCTAAGGCTATCTCTTGATACGTAGCCAAAAGCGTTCTTTTGCATGTCTCATTGCATTATAAATTAAATGTGTTGTTTAGTTGGGGAGGAGAATTTTGTACCATCTGTAGCAACAGGGTGATGAGAATTTTAATCTCATCCAGAGTATTAATGGTACAGGATTTGTTTTTTTCGGTGACATTAAAATTTGACATTTTTCCTAATCCTGACAAACTGTGCCCAAAAGAGGCTGTTTCTGATTCTTCAAGGCATAAATATTTAAATATTTTAAAGAATTAGATTAGTCACCACAGCCTTTCTAGTGCTCAGAAGCTCTTTATTTCCTTGTAGCCACATAAGGATGGCAAACAGTAAAATGCGGTAACTGTGAAAGGTCGCTTGTTATGACTGGCTGTCTCATCTCGGGTCCCGTCCACACCTCTCAGACTGACACACAAAATCAGTTGTCAAAGAGACAATGTCATTTTAGAACAGACATTATCAATCACTTTAATCAGATCCTCCTTATCTTTTATCCAGAGAAACGGGATACATTGTCAGAATGACTGGTTATATATATTTAACTTAGAAGAGAACATGTTTTGTAAGTGTAAATAATGATTAAAATAGCCTAAGTCATGTTAGATTACAATTTAGAAGATCTAGAAATCACTTTCTTGTCATACCTTTCATCTAAAAGTCACTTTAGTCATCTCTGAGAGCTGTCAGTGTGGGAAGGGATTATAATGACAGGGTAATGACATTGATAATTAAGCTGAAGAGGCCAGTGAGTCAAGTCTTTAAAAAATTGGCTTTGAATTTCAGCCCTGCCACATTGTGAGGTTTCTCCAAAACTATTTCCTTTGCTGCTAGAAAAGACTTACAATATCCTCCCTCACGGGCCTTTTGTGAAACACATAGTAATACACCAAAAGTGATAAGCCTATTGTATGGCACTTAATAAGCTCTCAATAAATGGCAGTTGCTATTATTGCTAATAATATATAACTGTATATCAAACTTCATGTAGCCAGTGGTCAATTATCTATGAAAAAAAGAGATACAGAATGTTTAGCTACTGAATTAAAGCAATATTTTTAAGAATACTATATAGAAAACCCAATATCTTTCTTTTCTTCAATGATAAAGTGTAATACCTCTATCATTCTTAACATTAAAGAAATAATATCTCCTGTTAACTAATAAGCACTTCACTGGTCCAGTTTTCTTGTCTTCTTTTATTTTCTCTTTCCACCCTCTGATCAAAATACTCATAAGCTCAGAAAGCCCAAATGTCAGCCAAGATGAGTTGAAAGAAAGCCAGGGAAAGAGCCTGAAGAGTCTGTGGACTCAATACTTGTCCCTGGATAGTTGAGAAATAGAAATAAGGCTATCAGAAAGATCTCATTCTGGTTTTCTCTCATTACACTGTTGGACAAAGCACAAATTTTTTCCCAATAATGAGATTTTTATATGATCGAAGCTGATTTTAGTTATCATGATACCTGTAAACCTGGTTCCTGGCTGGATTCTCTCTAAACACCCGTGTTAGCATAAGCTATTTCTTACACGACCTATGTAACGCTGAGACAGGTGTTGTAATGTTTATTTATAATTTGAAGACAAAAAATTATTTTACTGCAGTAAATTTTAAAGGGAAGACAAGTAGAAGAATGTTGTAAGGATGCATCCAATAAACATTTATTTAACACAGACTGCTCTAGACACTGTGCTGGGTGCTAGGGTTAGGGTCTTCGAAACAGCCACTGTCTTTGACCTCAGAAAACACAGAGGACAATAAAGTGATGGTCCCTGAACACATTCTTGCACAGAAAAACAGGGTTTATAAAATGGGATCTACTTTACACATGTTTCTAAATTTAAAAAAAGACTAATTTTGAAAACTGATATCTACTCTATTTCTTTATGGGATGTATACTTTAGCATTAAATGAATATATGTATATATTTCCAATAAAGGAAAACCAAATAAATTTTTAATGAGAATCTTAGTTTAGATAATTTTATAAAAGTTAAATACAAAGGGGCCATCATATTCCATTCTTCATTCTCAATAATTCTTTTGAAATTAAAAAGAGAAACTCAGAGAACTGTTTTTCAGCTGGATTAATGTAGAGTAATTTATTTTAAGTATATTTTGCTACCTATCTTAAAAGCATATCTGCTCATGATGAACTGACTGGCCAGTAATTAAAAAAGTGAAAGAAAAAAGAAGTTAATCAAAACTTCACAAGAATGAATGTTTAGGGTTTTTTTTTTTAAATATAAACACCATGTCCTATATTGATAAATTGACTTTTTTTCTCAATCCTTATTAGATAACTTATCTAATTGTTAAATGTGGCCTAATTTTTCTAATATATTATGTAACATTCCCATGAGGGAATTGTGTTTACCAGACAAGGGAGGAAGGAAAAAAGAAAATGAGCTCCCCTATTTCTCAGCCTGAATTTATACTCACATTTACTCCCCCTGGTTACCTGGACACCTTCAATTTGTGAATGCACAGATTTGTGGAATTTTCGATTGTGTAACGTGGTATCACAGCCCATTGATATCATGCTCCAGTTGGGTGGTGTACAACAATTTTTTTTAAAATCTGTTACCAAAGAAATGCTTTTGTCTGGCCATGTATGACTTTTGTCTGGCCATATCCTCTGTCAGGAAATTCAAGTGCAAAATGACTGCAAAGGAAGTCACTGGCGTTCACCCTGGATGACCATGGATGGTAGAGGGAGCTCAGGGGCAAGGTTTGCTCACCTCCATTAATCCTAAAGGCACTGGATACCTTGAGTCTGGAGGGAATTGGAAAATCAAACTCATTAATGAGATTAAGGTACTCTGTTAAAGTGAACATCTAAATTTTCCCCAAACGATTTCGGTTATTTGAATGTATCTGGGAAAAATAAATATTTATAGTAATTATCCTTAATTCTGTGGCACTCTTAGGATATATCATTCAGAATTTCCTCAAGCACCTCTAAAACTTACCTGATTATTTAATGATATTTTATATATATACATATCATATGGAATTTATTTATATGAAATATGTATTTAAATAGGAAGTATATATATTTAAATTGATATAAAAATTTAAATTATAGGGGAGAGAAGACAAACTAGACACTTAAGTTAATGAAGCCTGCAATTAAGAAAATAGATGGGGCCCTGGCTGGTGTAGCTCAGTGGATTGAGCGTGGGCTGCAAACCAGGCATCGCAGGTTCGATTCCCAGTCAGGGTACATGCCTAGGTTGCAGGCCATGGCCCCCAGCAACTGCACATTGATGTTTCTTTCTCTCTTTCTCCCTCCCTTCCCTCTCTAAAAATAAATAAATAAAATCTTAAAAAAAAGAAAAGAAAATAGATGGGTTATTCACATTCTATGATGAGCCTAATCAATTGAGTTCATATCACGTGTGTTTAAGAGCAGCCACTTTCCCTGTGCTTGAATCGTGGGCCTACTGATTAATAATGATGCAGTCTTCCCAATGTACATTAATTTCTCAGAGCTTCAGTTTTTTAAAAAAATCTATAAAATAGAACAATAAATGATACCTGTGTCATAGAATTGCTATTAGGATTAAATGAGTTAACACATTAAAAGTATTTAGAACTCTGCCTGGGAAAAAAGTAAGCACTTAATAAGTGTTAGCTGTTATTTTATAGTGTAAGTGTTATTTTGATTTGCTCACTTTATAAAGTGCTTTTCATGTGTGAATCATATTTATACTGGTACGTCAATACAATTATATATATATCTGTTGATAGAAAATCACAGTTCCTCATACAGAGTTGGCATTCAATTGTTTTTGCTAAATGCATTAGTAGGAAAAATGGCTAAAATACACATCTGAAAAATTAATTCATATTTTTAAGAAAAGATGATAACTAATAAATAATTTTGAACACATTTCAATCATGCAGACTAATGTTATATATATTAACATTTAGAATTTTAGTGAAAGTACATGAATTTGCATTTGGCATTAATTTCCATTTTATCAAATTATGCATTTAATTTTTTACAATTTGAAAAATTAATTTTACTACTGCTATTCACTATATTAGGAACCTATCTTTAATATATTTTTCCTACAATCTTATCAATGTGTTATCAAAGTCTGAAACAAATACTTCAAAACTCATAGTATCACATTTTTTTTCTAAGCTTATCTGCCTAGAAGAATAGCCAGGAATTGTAACAACAAAAGAAAAACATAAAATATAAAGGGATATTGCTTACTCTATTAATTTTCATCTTTATTATAAAATATTTTAAACTTCCTGAAAATTAAGAGAGACTCTGATACCTGTGCTATTGCTATACAGTGTTATCAACTCCTAACATTTTCTTTTTGATAAAAGACATTTTACAGGTACTCCTTAAGCCCTCTGCAACCATTCTTCTGTCCACCTGAGAAAACCACTAAATAGAATTTAATATCTATAATTCCTAAGAGACTTATGAAATTAATGTTTGTTATACATATAAACATTTGTGAATAGATAATTTACAGTATTATTCCACATGATTTTAATTTAATTTATTATAACTTAACTAGAGTAATCCTTCTGTAAATTTTTGCTCAATTCAATATTTTTTTAAGATACATCTTTCTTAATATGTGAAGGTATATTTTACTCATTTTAACTTCTGCTTACTATTTCACTGAATGACTATATCTTAATATATTTACTTAATATCTTGCTAGCGTACTATTAGAGTCAATGTTGTGGTGAATGTTCTTGAACAAGATTCCTTGTGCATGGTTGGGAGAATTTCTCTAGGGTAGAAGTGGAGTAAGTCCAAGTGGAATTATTTGAGTGTTTGGTTAACTAAATTGAAACTTCACGAGATATTGACAAGTTTATCTAAAATGTGTATGTACAAATTTATACTCTGTCTGCAATCTATGAGAGTACCTGTTTCTTTAAATCACTGCATAAACATTTCCACAAAATTTTTGCGATGACAAAATTGTCAAATCCTGTTCTTATTTTTGAAAATTCATATGAGTTCGTTAAAAGTCAGAAGAGTGTGGTTACTTTATTTCTTAAATTGGATTCAGTTCACAAGGACTGAAAGGTGAGGTCTTAGGAGATGTAAGTTTAGTGCTTCTCTATCTTGTCTACACATTAGATTTACCCAGGAAATTTAAACAATTCTGATGCTCATCTCACCACAGACCAAATAAAGCAGAATCTCCTGGAGTGCAGGGAGTGACAGGTTGGTGTGGTGCTGGCTGCCCTGCCTTCCACCCTCGGAATGCAGATTCCTAAGTGATCCCAATATACAATCACTGTTGGGAATTACTGCCCTTGCATATGGCTGATGAAAGAAAAAAAGAGAGAGCGAGAGAGTTGGGAAAGAAAGAGAGAGAGAGGGGAGGGAGGGAGAGAGGGGGAGGGAGGGAGGGAAGGAAGGAAGGAAGGAAGGAAGGAAGGAAGGAAGGAAGGAAGGAAGGAAGGAAGGAAGGAAGGAGGGAAGGAAGGAGGGAAGGAAGGAGGGAAGGAAAAGGGTAGGGAAAGGAAGGGAAAAGAAAAGAAAACCAGAGAGGAAGAAAGGATAAAAGTTGGTCATGGACTGGAGTATTATTCTCAGAAGTGTTATCTAGAATGGATAGGTACTTTAGGGTCTGGAGAATATAGTAGGCATTCCAGGATGTGTTGATGCTTGTGATCAGTAATGTAGCAAGAGGTAGTCTCATAGCTTTGAACAGAACTACAGATCAGGGGTCAGGATCCACCCTCTTTAGAGACAAGTATCTTATGAAGTCCAGGCTCATGACAATCCCAGAGAAGTAGGTTGGTTTTCAGGATTCTGATGCCCATAGGACCTGAGACATAAGCCTAGACAGAAATTTCAGAAAAAGGCAGGGAGTGTAGCAACAGTCCTTGTCTGTGTGGGCACCATTGGCTCATAGCAGATAGCAATAATTCCAACTGCATCAGCTAGTTTATGCCAGCTACAGATGCTCTATAAATCTTAATTAGGATAGGTTGTAGAAATAAGTTATTTTTTTATTGTTGTTCAAGTACTGTTGTCTCCATTTTCACCCCAACACTACCTCCCACCCTAGAACCTACCCCCTTTGGCTTTGTCCATGTGTCCTTTGTACATTTTCCTTGATGGCCCTTCCCCTACTTTAACCCATTATCCTTGCCCCACCCCCACCCTGTTACTGTCAGTTTGTCCTTTATTTCAACATCTCTGGTTATACTTTGCTTGCTTATTTGTTTTGTTGATTTGGTTCCACTTATAGATGAGATTATATGGTATTTATAGAAAAAATGAATTAAAAGACTACTTGGTTTTGCTGACATCATTAGTTGCAAAAATATTGGAAAGTTAAATACTGAATTATTATTTATGAGGCAAGAAGTTATTAATGTTACTATACGGTTCACGTAATTATCTCCTTCATTCAGGAAAGAGGAAATTTCTAAAATTATAGGATCAATAGAACACTTGAAACCAGTTTTTTGTTTTTTGGTTTTAGTTTAGTTTTGTTTTTTTTTCCAGAAAAACTACTCTAGGGCAAATAAACCTAAAGGCATCCACCATATTTTAAAATTTTTGTTGTTCATGTAACTTAAAATAAGTTTTGAGACATGAGGATGATGAGATGATTGCATAGTGATTCAGATCAAAATATCATCTTAAAATGTCTGCATGCCCTTCAGGTTGACTATGAAGTCATCAGTTTAGGTGAATAATCAAGGTTACTCTTTCTTTTCTTCCAATTCAGTGCTGAGTACAAGAGAAGGACTAAATATGTTCAGAAAAGTCTTAATCCTGAGTGGAATCAAACAGTAATTTATAAAAGTATCTCCATGGAACAGGTATGCAATGATTATTTCCTATGTGACAGATTTAAGCTGATATAAGAATACTAATGACAAAATTATTGAAGGACTATGATCTTAAATTCAGAGAGAAAAGACTACAGTTAGAACAGGAAGATGACATCCACAGGAAATAATTTACAAATGAGTTGTCTTGTGAAATGAGTTTTATTATTTGCCCTCTGGAAGATTTCTAATTTGACTATAAAGGTGAAGCTGAATATAAATTGTAATACAGATTTTTGGATTTAAGATAAGTTAGATTTATCTGCAGAAAGAACACAGTGCTACTATGTTTTGGGGGAATTTACAGAAACAAAAAAATTCTTAATTCAAATACTTTATCTAAATAGCCTAGACAGTTTTGCAACTATGAATCCCATGTATTTAAACAGTATTTATAGATTTTAATTCTACTTTTAAAGATGGGGGTAGATTAACAGGGAATTAGTAAAATTTATAAAATAGTAAGATCTCATGATACTATACTAGGTTAAACTACAAAACCATTGACATTTTACATAATATTAAATATAAGCCCGGATAGTTGTAGATAATATTTAAAATATTTTTACATAAAGGGAAAGACTCATGGAAGTGAAAAATAGGTGAGTCTATAATATAAATGTTATGAAAATTAATGGCAAGAAATGGTGTGAATGACCTTTTGATTTGACCTGTAGCTCAAGAAGAAAACACTGGAGGTGACAGTGTGGGATTATGATAGATTTTCTTCCAATGACTTTCTTGGTGAGGTGAGCCTTTGATTTCTTTTCCCTTATTTGCTGTTGTTGTAAACTACCAATTAACGCTTGATGCAAAGCATATCTTTTAAGTTTATAAGATAAGCACTTCTGCATAAAGTCCTTTGGTGGATAGAATTTATTTTTAGTTATCTTTTGAGTAGATGAATAACTCAATAAATGGTTTTTACTTTGCCACTTGATGTACTTACTAATTTGTAAGATTTTTTACTCATTTGCTTTATTGTACAATGTACACACAACAGTCTTAAGAATTCCAGTACAAATACCACCATGAACATTATGATTTAAATGTTAAATGTGTTTAAAAATGTTTGCAGTTCTTTTTTGTCCTTAGGACATATCCCACCACTAGGGATGGATATAGAGTCAAAGTGCTGTGTTTTAAAATTGCATGAACTAAGGTGGGGGATGCTGGTGGGATGGTGTTACAAGACAGAGGGGAATAAAGGGGAGGAAAAAATGGGACCACTGTAATAGCATACTCAATAAAATATATTGAAATTTAAAAAAATAAAATAAAAATAAAATTACATGGAATAATCTCTCTTGAGTACAGAGTTAGGTTCACATATTACATTTTGTTTTTGATTTTTATGGGATTGCTTTTTCCAGATTTTTTATTGAATTTTTTTATCATGCTTTGAATTCAAATGAGTATGTTAAAGATTTAAGATAAATTCATTATATTATAAAATGAACTGGACTTATTAAAAAGGCATTGTCAGGTTATTTAATTGCTGTTTCTCACTGCATGTATGATGACTTGTTGTGACATTTTACATTCTTATTTCTTTCAAGTATCCAGAGAAAAATCTCTCAAAATATTTTAAGAAACTGGAAGATAAAACAATAAAAATAGTTTTCTATAAATTCACAAGGAATCTAACCTAAATATGATATTTGGTAAAGTAGGCCTGATCCTGTGATTTTTAATCTATCATATTTCAAAAACATGTATTTTATGTAGTGATCTTTGCTTAGAGCAGAAGTTATAACTTATTGTTAAAAATATCATCTCCAAAAAGATGCAACACCTAGAAAATATGATGTCCTTTTGATAGGGATAACAGAACGTATTTGTGTTAGACTGGGTGACATGAGGGCTTGGTTGACTCCGAGACTCTGCACCTTCCTTTTCCAACAGACTGGACCATCTGACCTTCACCTGCAGGCTCCATGCTAGTGCAGCCCCTTGGGCTAATCTGTATCTTATGCAAGACTATTCTAAGATACAGTTATATCTGACTTAATGCCCTGTTTCAGAAAACTGGCTTAATGAAGTCGTTACAGTTCGTATATATTTATGTGAACCTAGACCATATCTTCATTGTGCTGGTGTTCACATTTTTTGTCTCATTAAGTCTAAGAGGCCAGCAACTGTAAAACGCACCATTATTGATGAAACACTAAGAAAGAGGAAATACTACCAATTAAGCCATGACATAGTGCTTTCTTATCCTAAACTGTTAGTTATATCCCTATTTCAGATGTGTACTAAAGTATGTTTTAAAATAGAATGAGTTAGGAATTGCAAATTACTTATTCTTTTTTTATTTTAACCTTCATAACTAAAATCAATCTTCAAAACTGCTAGCCAAGTTGAGGACCAGAATGTGTCCATTTAACAAACCTTTGTTTCATAGGGAGATTGATTTTTCCATTCTACCTTTTACATCACCACCAAAAAATTGAATTAGAAGTCCAAGATTTTATATAGTTGAATTTAACCAAACATTCACTAAGTATCTAGTGTGCATCAGTCGTTATGCCCAATATTATGAGTGAAGAAATATGAGGAAAACTGCCTCACTATCCTTGGGTTTATATCCTTGAAAAAATTTCAGATCACAGAAAAAAGTAATTTATAACAGCTTAACTTATACATTTTATTGATTTCACTGTACTTTTTTTCAGGTATTGATTGATTTATCTAGCACATCTCACCTCGATAACACTCCTAGGTGGTATCCTCTCAAAGAGCAGACAGAAAGCATCGACCACGGCAAGTCCCACTCCATTCAGAGCAGCCAGCAGTCCCCGAAGCCCTCCGTCATCAAAAGCAGGAGCCATGGGATCTTCCCTGACCCAGCCAAGGGTAGGAGAGATTTCAAGTAGAAAAAGCTTTCATCTTTTTGTTCACTCAGTTTCTTCTTCAGTATGTATGCCTGTATATGGAATATATTTTGTGGGTTGAATTCTATTAGAAAATATTTAATATAATATAAGGCAAAGAATAATGGATATGGAATGAGGAGAAATGGGATGTGGCCTCAGATCAGCCCATGATTAGGTTTATGGCTTTGTGATCTTCACCTTGCTGACTCCCCATTTTTCAGCCTGTAAAATGGAGTAGGTTTAGATATATGAACTATTGGTTGTTTTCCAGCTCTCAAAATCCATGACAATATGATTTTATAAGACGCATTGGGGTGTTTCTTAAAGAAAGTATAAAAATCCTCAATAGTTCATTGACTAGACATATCATCATATCATTTATACATATTTCTTCAAATTGTTGAAATACTTGTTTTTCATAGGTATATTAATTCTTACATATTACATATAATGTATGATTATATATGTTTGCTTCCTCCTTTTTACTTACCACATCAAAAACATTTTTCCCTGTCATCAAACGAATTGGTATGCTGAAATTTATTTAAACTTTTCATAAATGTTTGACTTGAGCTATTTCTATGACTTTTTTAAAAAACAAATAGTATTTTGAAAATATCGTCACCATACATTGCTTTTGGAAATATGCACAGCGTTCCCATTTGAATGAGCTTTTCCTTTGGGAGGTTCATTACAATTACCCTACAACACAACATTAATCTTGATCATAAACTGAGTTACTGCCTGCATGAGATGACCATGCAGTACCTTACATTGATATGCTAAACTGTTTATAAGTATGAAGTACAAATTTTTATATGGGACCTAATATTGCTTCCTTCTTTCCTAGTCAGAAAGTACATCCAACTGAAAGGAGGTCCTTTGCTTATTAGAAAGGAATGGATTATAAGGACAAGTGTTCTGGGAAATAGAAAACAGAGGCCATCCATGTCCAGTAGGCCACTAAACTGATATGACAAACCACTGACTACAATGGGTGCTATAGCTTTATTATGGATGAATTTTATAGATTACTCATGGATTCCACAAAGCCAGATCAACTCTGGCCTGTTTAACATTCTGGAAGATCATTAGTATAAAGACCTCTCTCTGTGACTATTAGGATGTACATATATGTTCTCAAAATTACCTGAGGTGAGGATTCTACAGTCTTCACCTTTAATATGTTCTAGCGACCCACACACCTTCATCCAAGAATTCATGACACTTCTACTTACAACTCCTCCTGCGACAATGTAAGCCTTACCTGGTCCCTCTTAGAATTAGCAGAGTCGCTTGGTGAAACTATAATATATTCATTCACATGAAGTTAGTTAGAATTTATTCCTCTTCCTAAACTTTTCAACATTATTATCTATTTTCCTTTCCTCCTCAAAATTGTTTCCCAAATATTTAATCATATTACTGAATGGTGAGCAGCCCCATAAAAGAACTAAAGAAACAGATTAACTTAAATCTCAAGACAATTTCAAATTATGTGAGACCAAGCTTGACAGGACAAATGCTGGGGAAACTTTAACTTATGTTTTGCTCTTTTGTAACCAGACATGCAGGTTCCCACCATTGAGAAATCCCATAGTAGTCCCGGTAGCTCGAAATCCTCATCTGAAGGCCATCTCCGCTCTCATGGACCATCTCGCAGCCAAAGCAAAACCAGCGTCACTCAGACCCACCTGGAAGACGCAGGGGCTGCTATAGCCGCTGCTGAAGCTGCTGTGCAACAACTCCGCCTTCAACCAAGTAAAAGACGCAAATAAATTCCTCAGCATGGCAGCTTAATGTTCATCTGTTGCCTTTCTTTTCTGCTGTCCTTTCCTGTTTGCTTTCTGTTTTTGGCACACCCTGCTCACTCTGTTCTCTGTCCCTCTGTCTGTGTAAGAACTATCAATACATAAATATGCTCCTTCTTCTTTAGATTTTTTTAATTTACATAGAGTGCAGTAAAACTGGCTGTTTCTACTCTGTCTCCACCATCCGTCCAACCTGCCCCATGGTATTTGGTGGCCGTGTCTGTGATGTTTGCAGGCAAACAATGTCGTGTGTCCTTTTTGTGTGCATTAAACTATCCTTTAGAATATAGGAATTACAAGCACAGCGGCTTCCAGTTTTCCAGGCATTACATACACACACACACACAGCACACACACAAGTATTTAAAGCAGATTATCCATGAGATTCTCACATCTAAAAACACTCAGAAATGTGAGGCAGAAGAGTAATATGACCAACAGTCAAGTTTTAGATCCTAGGGGGAAAAGCCATTGTAAGCTTAAAAATATTAATAGATTATGCATGTGAAACATTGTCATTTTCCATGTGGGAAACTTTACAGTCTTTTGGAAAAAGAAATCTATGAAGAAAATCATGTTTCTTATATTATCAAGAAAGAATATAATATGAATGTGTATATAAGCATATGTGATGAGGCAATACAACCTCATTGAGAAACATAATCAGGTCCATTCTGTTGGATCATACTTTGTATATGATAACAGAACGTACAGGTTATTTTTTTTCTAACCTTTGGAAATCCTTTGACAGTCAAATGTCACTTAAAGCATAAAAATTGACCCATCTTAACTGCTGCATTTTCATTTAACTTGTGAAAACTTAGTCAATTGATACATAAAACCTTACATAGACATTTTCACTAATGTAGGTGTGCTGTTACTTCCAAGAGGCACTAGCCAGACAATGGAAAAAGATGAACACATTCCCCCAATCTTCCAAAGTCATCATTTCCAAAGAAACAGCCAGTTTTAACCCCCTTTAGTGCTGTGCATGTGGTGTCATTTTGGCATTTGAAAACACAACTTATTTCAATAGAGCAAAAGATCACTTCTGTTTGCATGACTAACATTTAAGCTGGTTTCATCTGAGGATACATACTCTGGGTTTCCATTTCACCCACACTGCCACAGCAGCACATAAAAGCGGTCAGTCTAATCATGCCAGGAAGCAGCACAGACACAGCATAGCAGGAGTCCTCCCCATTCAAAGAACTCAGTCTGATAATCTGCCTCCACCAGCCAATGGCAACCAAGACCAAAGCCAGCTAGCCCTCAGGAAGGTGATGTCTGATGGACCAGTCAAGACAGAAGGAGGTGAGCAGAAAGGCGCTGTTCAAAGCACACAGCAAGAACATTCCCCAAATTTAAAGTCCTCATCTTTTAATTTTTAGAGATTGTGTGATAAAATATGTTTATCCACTTTTTAATGTGCTTTTGTGGGCATGGCATTTCAGGACTTCATCATCACCATGTAAGTCCCAAGATCAGTCCCATAATATACTGACTACAGTGATTTGTATTTTTCTATGCACTGGGCATCTTTTGACTTTTGTTGGGAAATAGATTAACGGTATTCATATGACAGAATGGAATGCATGCTACTAACCAAATCTGTTCAAGCATGACTATAAATATGTTGCATTGTGATAAAATTTTAAACTGCTCTCAAGCTAGTGTACCAGCTAATAATGTAGATCAGTTTTTGTTACATATCATTTCAAGTGTAACTTTTAAAAATTTCAGTGGATTTTGGAAATTCTTAGAGGAAAGTAAAGGAAAAATTGTTAATGCACTCATTCACCTTTCCATGGTGAAAGTTCTCTATCCTACAAACAGACATTTTCCACTCATGTTTCCGTAGTTGTCAAGTGTATCGTGTTGGGCATGTGAATATCCAAGTGCCTGTGTAATAAATAAAGTATCTTTATTTCATTCATAAACTACTGGGTTCTGAGCCATTGTTATATGATGCAGTTCAAAATGAGTGTGTCAGTTTTTGCTTTCTCATTTGATTCCTTGCAATAGAGTATTTATAGTTACTGCTCCATTGTTGGTGACAGTTGTAATGATAGAGCTTTGGGGAGCAGACCAAAGTTTCATGTCAAAAACATTATAAGATGGATAGAAAATTATTTCCGAATACAGAGCTTACATAAACATGTAAGTAAATAATGGAGTTGGGCTACTCTTAGGCAAGGCTTCTACTATTTCTTTCTCACATCTGATCTACTTCACAATCTTCTCAGTTTCCTGGACAGAGAAAGACAGATTCTATGTGCTCTTTCCCTGGAGATGCATCTAAACTTGATTCCGTAGCTGTGATCAGAAAAGGAAGCAAATTCATATCTGTCCCTAACATGACACAGCATTTGTGGAATTTTCCTGGAGAAAGAGTGCCACTACCAGTGACGAAACTCAAACAAGGGTGGTTATAACAATTATCTTCAAAACCATATATGAAATAAAGTTGAAAAAAATAGGATAGCTATGTTTGCCCCTTAGGTCTCTTCCAACCCTAAAATACTTGATGTTATGGATCGATAGTTCCACAAAATTAAAATCAAACCTTGTACTATCCTATAGAAATTGTCTGTGTTCTCAGAAAATTAAAAAATGTAATACACTCTTGTCCCAACTAATTAGACATTAGGGGCTGTGGAAGATGTATGTGGCAGTATGGAGGGTAAACCATTGTGACATTTCTTGAATTAGCCAGGTAACTAAGGAAACAATTATCTTAAATGTTAGCATAATTCTGAATGTGCCCAATTTATAGATTAGCTCCAAAATACAAATTCTCTTTTCTAGTTAGCTTTACTAGTACTTTCCAAAAGTACTTTAGATTCCTCCTCTCACCTTTTTTCATCAAATAAGTTTTGTTGATTTGTTAATGGTATTCATTTTCTTCCTTCAAATATTTTGTAATTATAAATATCAAAGTAGTCAATTGCTTCTTTTATTTCACATTCTATGTTTAATTATCATGATTTAAGTTACTGTATAATATTTTGCCCGTTTTTTTAAATAAATATTATTGTTAAAATTTTAGTAAATTGTTTTTAATCCCCTTTTTACAAATAATGCTCTGATGGATAAGTACTCATACATTTAAGGTGCTATGATTGAATCTCAAAATATTGAAATTACAATCAAAAGAGTATCAAGATGCCATAGTATGGATTCTTGTTTAATTTTATTCTAATAGATGATAATGCAAATGCCCTGTTTTCTAAAATATAGTTACTAAAAAGTTACCAGGAATATAATTCAACCATGTATTTTGCCAAACAACTAATTGGCAAATAAAGGATAAAATTTATATAAAATGGCCCTGGCTGGCGTAGCTCAGTGGATTGAGCGCAGGCTTCGAACCAAAGCATTGCAGGTTTGATTCCCAGTCAGGGCACATGCCTGGGTTGCAGGCCATGACCCCCAGCAACTGCACATTGATGTTTCTCTCTCTCTCTCTTTCTCCCTCCCTTCCCTCTCTAAAAATAAATAAGTTCTTTTAAAAATTTTAAAAGAATTTATATAAAATGCCATATAAGGAGTTCAAAACTTAGACAGTAAAAGTGGTAAGAGTCGTAAACATACAGTCATCAAGTTCCTGTTCACTAACTGCAGAATAAGTATTAGTATTAATTTTAATACATTTAATACATAAAGTCTCCCACTTTAATCCTCACAGTCAAGCTCACATAATCCCATCTGCATTCTGAAAATAATGCTCTGTATTGAAATAATTCTTCACGTCGTACAAAGTGTTTTGTCACCCATTTTCTCATGTTATCGCACCTAGTAGATGATGTATTTGTTGCAGATATTTTTCTGAGCAAGCAATTAAGAGAGAGGACTAGAATAGAAGAACACACAGCTAGAAATTTTCAAATTCAGCAGCATAACCCTTGTCTTGTTACTAGGCCTAAGCCTTTGTTTTTTAAATACATTGGCTCCTTGAAATTAAACTCCCCTGATTTCAAGAAAAACAACTGTCATTTACTTATTTTTTTCTTATTCAAGTTCCAACAAATGATTAGAGGTTTCTAGAAATAATGGCAGAATACAATTTAGACTTCCTCTGCCTGCATGATCCTCTTTTCTGAAGGCTGATGATTAAACTGCCACAAACCAAGAACATAAAATCCTCTCACTGCACAAGTGGGATGCGTCAGTATCTGTAGTCATTTCTGTCAAGGGGGACGAAATTGTCCCCAAAGAGCTGTTCAATTTTTTTTCCTGAGCTTTTCAGCAGATTTCTGCTTGAAGTAGCATAAAATAATGGGTCAGGCAATAATTATGGAGTGAGCCAAACAGAACTTTTTCTTTCCCTCCGGGATTTAGTTGCATGGCTGGAAACCTGAGGGGAAAGATTAGACAGATTGTGCCAGAACACCCTGACACCGAAACAACTCTCTGTATTTAGAAATCCCTGGAAATGGTTTTTTCAAGCCAGTTGTTTTGGTTGAACGCAGGCCCTGTCATTTCAGAAGGTGACACCAACCAGGGAAGAGAGTTTTAAAAGTGGTTGAAAAAAAAAAGAAAACAAATTGAGGCATTTTTAAAATCTTGGTAAATTTATTTGACATTCAATGTATTACATTTTAATTTCAGTTTGAAAATCCTGAGCTATTTTTGTTTGATCCTAAGAGTTTTGGTGAGTTTTAGAGCCAAGTTTTGAGCCAATAGCACAGAGTGAATAGAAATTGTCGCCCCCTGCTCTGGGCAATTAGAGCTATTGGGATGGGTCAGTGAGGTTAGGTGGGAAGATGAATCTGGGCGGGGATTATGATTTCAGTTTGTTGGCCTGGCGGAGTTTTAGGAGACAGGCCTGAAGCTCCTTCTACAGACCGCTGCTGGAAACTCCACTTTCAGTAAGGCTCATTGCGGCACCTGTCAAAGAAGAGCTTCATGTTCTTATGTTGCTTGGGGAACTCTTACTAAGCCATCACTCTGTGGGAGCCACTCTCCTGGGTAATGGTAGTGGGTGGCTGGGTTGGGAAACAGGGCGGGCACTGGGCATGGAGGGAACTGTTACAAAAGGCGTTAGCTAATCAGTGTCTCATTCTCTTCAAACTGGAAAGAGACGGTCACTTTTGGTCAGAAGGAGTTTTGCATTCCCTGTTTATGGAGAGGGTCCAAGAGAGAAATCAAGGAGAAGAGAAATCAGAATGAGTTTGTTGTGAGGTGAAGTCTTCTGTAACATTTGTAACAGGTTAATAAAACCAGATTTATATTCCTCATTTTAATGTGTTCATAAAAAAAAAAGAAAACCTTAAAAAAATCCCTGGATAGTTTAATATAATTGAAATAGAAACTGTAATGATTTGAACGCAGCAAACATAAAACAAAATCTGAGAGAATCAAATTGGGTGTCAGCTTTCAAAGTTCTATGCCTAATTTCTCTGGAAATGAGGTTTTTGTTTCATTTTGTTTTGGTGTCTGTGAAAAGCAAAATGATCAGTTTTTCGAAAGTTTTGTTCAAGAGTTACTACCATCATTCCTTAGAGTGATTATGATTTTCAACTCTTTCTCTAGTCTTCTCACAGTTATTGCCAGAACTGTCTCTGCTCTACATGCAGAGTGACAGATAGTGAATGAATAGCTCTGACCATATGACACCATCTATGTTTATGGACCTCCATTCACAAACATGAATCCACTGACCTACCATCAATGGAGATTTTTGTTTTCCAGTAGTAGCCTTGGGTCGGCACGGAGCCATCCACATAGCGTGTGTCCGATTCACAGTGGCAGCTTCTGTGTTCATTTCATCTGACATGAATAGCAAGACCAGTTGGCCCATCTAAATATCAAAGTTGTCTGCAGTATTGCTGTGCTTTAGTCAAATGATCTACCTGTGGGCCTGTGTAATTGGATGTGACTGTTAATACATTATCTGAGAAGAGGAGGGCCTGATTTTAACATGATGAAGTTCCTTAAATATTTTTCATGATGTGTCTTTAACAAAGTTAAACTTAATTTTTTAAATGCAACTCATTTTACTTTGGGCTTAAGAAAATTATTTTTTTAAAAAGTTAATTTATGAAATTACCACCAGAGAGCAGAACTCTGAGGAAATGAGACAGAGAAGTAAACACTAATGGCGAAAAGAAATAAGAAGCATGGAGCATGAGAAGCTGATGGGGACACAGTGAGGGAGCCTGGACAAAGAGTACAATATGATCCTGGGACTGGGAACATTGTCGCCTGGGTAGGAGGGATCATAGAACCAGGGAAATGCTACCTAAGGCAGAGGAATTCCAGAGGCATTACCTGGCTACTTAGCAGTATTGCCTAAATCCAGATATCTAACT